ATCCATCCATCCATCCATCCATCCATCCATCCATCCATCCATCCATTCATCAATGGATCCACCTATCCATCCATCCATCCACTTATCCATCCACTTATCCATCCATCCATCCATCCGTCCGTCCGTCCATCCGTCCGTCCGTCCGTCCATCCATCCATCCACTTATCCATCCATCCATCCACCATCCATCCATTCATTTGTCTTTCTCTAAAACCTTCAGAAATGTTTAAAGAGAAGGTTGAGGAGGAGAGAGCAGCTGCCTCTGTCTCCCAACACAAGCACCAGTAGATGTTACAGCATCTCCTGCCCCCACACCCACCCTACCCTCCCACCTGCCCTGAACCTGTGCTCAGGAAGCAGGGCAAAAGGAAGTAAGCCACAGGTGACCCCTGGGCAAAGGGTAGTTCCATTTATAAACCCAGAGCACACATCCTGCCATGGGCATTGCTGGGCTTCTATGTTTGCTGGTCTCCAGGAAGCACGGACACGGGCCACCTGGTGAGGTCCTTGATGGGTGGGTCAGCAGAAGGTGAGTCTGCACTGTCCTCAGGATGCTTTCTGGGAAAACGAGTCTTTTCTTCATACACCAGAAACACTATTACTGAAAAGATGTAAGACCTTTCTGGGGACAGATTTCAAACCCAGAAGCCACAAAAAAAGACGCCCAACAATTTGATTGTGTAACATGAGTTTTTGTGACAAACGCCCTGTAACTAACTTGAAAGACAAGCAAAGAATGAGAGAAAATGTTTGTAATGTAGACACACATATATGTGTGTATCACAATTGAAATTTTATAACCATATTTTTAAAAATGTTTTTATTGATTTCAGAGAGAGAAAGGGAGAGGGAGAGAAAGATAGAAACAGCAATGATGAGAGAGAGTCATGGATCGGCTGCCTCCTGCACGCCCCCTACTGGGGATCGAGCCCCTCAACCCGGGCATGTGCCCTGACGGCGGAATTGAATTGGTTCATAGGTCGACACTCAACCACTGAGCCACACCGACTGAGCTATACCCATATTTTATATGTTGATAAAGATTAACCTTGTAATATATTGGTTACCACTCAACCTTCATTTTTCTCTTACTCATTAAAAAAAAAAATTATTGATTACTTTTAGAGAAAAAGAGAAGGAAGAGAGAAAAACATTGATTTGTTCCATTTATTGATGTGCTCATTGGTGCCTTCTTGTATGTGTCCTTCCTCTCTAAAATCAATAAGTAAAAATTTAAAATAAATAGAAATAGGATACGTGGGCTGTCTTCAAATTGCTCAAATCCTGTCTAAATCCATGATGTGAGATCCACGATTCTGTACCGAGACATCTCATTGGATAATTCTTTGTTGTTTTGTTATCTTTTACTGTAAATTATTTTATGCAAGAAATGTCAGAGATTTTCCCACTCAAAACCACAAGCACGTAACTAAACCTGCAGAAGCTGCTGTCACTTACCATTTTCATTCAACCTATCAACTGTGGTTGTCTTTAATGACCACCACACAGAGATTCATAAAAAAAAATTTCCTGTTTTTCTTCTATTAAATTTTTATTGAATTTATTGGGGTGACATTGGTTAATAAAATTACATAGGTTTCAGGGATACAATTCTATAATACATCATCTGTATATTGTGTTATGTGTTCACCACCCCAAGTCAAGTCTCCTTCCATCCCCCCTGCACCCTCTTCTACCTCGATTGTTAGTTTTAAGTTCTTTTTCAAACACTTTCTTCTCTCTACTCTCTCTCTTTGGAGACCTACCCCCAACCCATAATGGAAGCTTGAACATTTGGGATTTTTAAGGGTTGCAGGTTACCACGAATATGCTCATTGTTGGTTCTGATATTCATGGTCAAGTCCAAAAGTCCTATATAAACAATCTTCATTGAGTCAAACTAGCCTGATAGGCCCAAACCTCCCTGTTTCCTCTCCCCTAAAGCATCACTAAAATACAAGAAAATAGCTAATAGAATTTTTTGATGTTGGAGGATATTAGGCTTTCTATTCCAGCACAAAGAAAAAGTATAAAGGAAGCAAAGCCAGGATGTTGCCCTACTCACTGGTACCCAGGGTGTCTCAAAGACTAAAAATAACAGGCAAAGTCTCAGCACCTGAAAAATTGCTATTTCTGTCCCATAGTAGTTCCCAAAAAGTGACCGAAAGCATAACATTTCCCAGGAAAATGTAGCACCACACTGATTCTCCAAGATGGTTTTGCACATGAGCGATTTTCACCTAAAATCCCCCCTCCATCCAGGCTTGCTTTCTGCAGGTGATACAAATTTGGGGGGCCATGGAGTGAGAGCTGAGTAGATCAGTTTCTACCCTCTGTGTGGTCCATCTTTCATTCCCACTTCACCCAAAATGCTGCATTTGCGCTCAAGATTTTTCACATAACTGAAGAACAGAGCATCCATCAACTTCCCACCATCACTTGTTGGAAATGCCAAGCGCATTCTTGTCTCCCAGAGGGCACTCACATCCCCTTCCAAGACCCTGGGCCATTTTGCTTACATTGTCTTTTGTGACAATGCCCAGAGGGTTGAATACTCACGTGGTATTGTCGCACAAGGAGGTAGTGTCAGAGCTCAGAACAGAGTCAGAAAAAAAAAATCTCTGTGTCCAAGTCAATGATGCAATGAACACAGTGAGGCCACCTTTGGACCCCCCAGGTTTAGATGTTTAATTTATCTGCAGAAACGCAGCCAGTCCAACACATGGGGGATTCTTTGTTAGGCATCATATCTTTGTCAGATGGGAAAGAAAACACTTTTTTGGAGTTGAATGACGCCAAAAATGAAAGGGAGTTTCCACAGGAATGATGAGTGGGGTTCTTGTCTCGTCTGAGCTTTCTCTCAGAGCGACCGCCCGACCTTGAGGTCCTCAGACATTCTCTGGTTCTGTAAGGGAAGATGGCAATGAAAGTGTCACAGCCGAGGAAGAAAAACCTACAGATTGGTCTTAAATCATTATTATCCTCTTGTGAGAAAGTAAGTGGGTTTTTTTCTAAGTTCTGTGTCCCCCACACTTCCAGGGTGAGGTGTTAATAGACCAAGGTTTACTCTGCTGGGATTGGTCAGTACCACCCGTCCATCAGCAGGGGGAGGCCATGGGCAGGTGTCAGTACCACTCTCCACCAGCAGGGAGAGGCCATAGGCAGGTATCAGTACTACTATCCACCAGCAGGGGGAGGCCATAGGCAGGTGTCAGTACCACCCATCCACCAGCAGGGGGAGGCCACGGGCAGGTGTCAGTACCACTATCCACCAGCAGGGGGAGGCCATAGGCAGGTGTCAGTACCACTATCCACCAGCAGGGGGAGGCCATGGGCAGGTGTCAGTACCACTATCCACCAGCAGGGGGAGGCCATAGGCAGGTGTCAGTACCACCAATCCACCAGGAGGGGGAGGCCACGGGCAGGTGTCAGTACCACCATCCACCAGCAGGGGGAGGCCTCGGACTCCCGAGGTCTGTACATGGGAAGGTTTATAATTTAGGGCTCTCTCATCGTTTTCTTTGGGGAAAGGGGTGCAAAAATGTCAGGTGGAACCCCAGTATTTCTCCAGAGTCACTTGTGATTAAAATTTCACACAAAAACAAAACAAAACTGTATCCGGCTAGTGAAACGCACACACACACACACATCCGAGCTTATAATGGGCCAGTGTATGTTAGTTATTGAAGTTCTCTGGCAGTTTAATCAAATCTTGCAGCTCAGAAAACTGTCCGAAAAATTAATAAATCATTGAGCATCTTCTGTTAAAACAAACAAACAAAAAAAGCATTGTTTCTCTCCATTTTCCGTATGCTTGGGAGAAAGTCCCAACTTAAAATCACTTAATTAGGCCCTGGCCGATGTGGCTCAGCGGTGAGAGTGTCCCCAGTGCACAGAAGGGTCTCAGGTTCACTTCCCAGTCAAGGGCATGTGCCTGGGTTGCAGGTTCGATCCCTGGTCCCAGCAACCAATAGATGTGAGATGCTTCTCTCTCCCTCCCTCTCTCCCTCCCTCCCTCTCTCCCTCCCTCCCTCCCTCCCTCCCTCCCTTCCTTCCTC